TCTAGCCTCCCAGAAAACAGCAATTAAAATTGCTTAGTGCCCAAGGTCCAAACCTTCTACCATGGCCTACAATCTTTCGTTTCATCTTCCTTTGAAAGGCTGAACATAACCCACACCTTCACCAGAACACCATACTAACCATCCTCCCACATGCCTTCTTACCTTTGCTCATGCTGTTTGTAGGGCTGGAATACTCTTCCTTAGTTCCCCATACTAAAATCCTACTCATCCCTCATGTGTCACTTCCTTTGGAAAACCTTCCTTACATTTTAGTTTTCCACTGAGTTTCCAAAACTGGTGTCTGTAATTCTACTACTGCACATCATTCTGCTTCATTTTATAATTATTTCTTATGCCTCCTATACTATCATCTCAAAAACAAGAATCAGCTATCATTTAGTTTTGAACCCCTTACTTATATCAATGCTTCCTAAAATGCAATCATTCATCACTTTCATCAGAATCACATCTGACTTTGTAGATTTTCGCATTCCCAGACCTATTAATTCCCACTGCAGGGTTTCTGAATCCTAACAGGCTCTCTGGGTATATAAAATTTAAGAACCACAGTCCTACACCACCCAGGACTTAACTAGCGCTCATAGCAGGTGCTCAACAAAGGATCGCATGGCCAGTGAGACACATGTTAGTCAGAGCTGGCCTGTTTGTTCTTTTCACAGAATCAGAGAATGTCAAGGCCAAAGGACTTTACAGGTGATGTAGTAGAACTACTTCATTTTTCAAACAAAAGACATGAAAACAGGAGAGAACAGATAATATGTCTCTAGGCGAACTCTAAAAAAAAGATAGAGTCACAAGGACCAGACCAAGTAACATAAGGAGGGTAAATAACGGGGGAAGGGGCCTTTGCTGGACCAAAGGGTTAGAAGGATAGCCCAGGAATCAGTGCCGCTTACTCAGCTGCCTTAACTCCTACCTTTAGTACCTTACCTCCTATAAACAACTGGAGAGAGGGGAAAGCTGAGAGATAAAGCAGGAAAACACCAAAGGTAAAACAATCAAAGAAGTTAGGATTATGACCAAGAAATAGGCATCTTAAGAAGTGATATAAGAAAAAAAAGATGATAACAATCACAACAGGAACAACTGACACTTACCTGAAACTTTAGATGGACCAGGGACTTCCCTACTCCCCAAAGAACACCTGCAAGTAGGTATTTTAATCCCCAGATGAAGATTACAAATGAGGAAACTGAGGCTTACGTTGGTGAAGTGGTTGCTCAGACACACAGCTAGTTAGTGCCAAACGTGGAATGAAGACGCAAGGTTGGCTTGTGCTCTAGATACTACCAAAAGGCTGTTATAAGACGTAAGCCTGAGAATCACTAAAACAATTAAATGGGTGCAATGAAGAAATAAGAAAGAGATAGAAGGTGGGAGGGAGGAAAGGGTACAAAATAAGAAAAGCTGAGGTAAAAGGAAAAAAGTTCACAGATGGATAAAAAGAGGACAAATGAGGAAGCAACTATTAAAGGTTAGTTTATTTTAACAAAGATTTCTACATGTGATGCTAGGTCTGACACAAAGTAGGAGCAATTGGGTTTGGAGGGATTTTGAAAACGATTTCAATGTTTATTCTGGGATTGCCCCTACTGCCCACTGTATAATTTCCACAGAAAGAGAGATTGGGAGGTGAGTAGGTACAACCACAAACCATGAAACATTATAGAGTAAAGGCACCAGTTTAACCTTCGCATCAGATACTGGACAGCGCTTTAATATAAACCAGAGCAGTAGAACACTATTTAAAACGAAATGATCTCTCATAGGAGGTTAATGAGAATGAGCTAATCAAACCAAAGGGCTTCGCTTTGAAAGACCCTTTCCTGTATAAAGTGTAAAACTTGTAGTGATAAAGTTTTATTGCGTAATGGGCGAGCTTTGAGAAAATCAAGAGGAAAAAAAGCCAAAAAATCACCATGAAATTTTGGGCTAGCTGACAGATTCATTATCTCTTATTTCCACTCCACCCCCATCATAAATTAGCAGTGATTTGTCAAACAATAGAAAAGACAAAAGAAAAGAAGGCAATAATATTTCAAAGATATTTTTCTTCGGTTTAGCATTTCCTCCTTTTCATCACCATATCTATCATCATTACTTATATACTTTCCCATTAAACACTGAAATAAAAACAAAAATACAAGAACACTGTCTTTCTGATAACACATGGCCTTGGCCAAGCATTCCACAGCTGAGTCCCCAGGGGGAGTAAGCAGCCCTGAATCCACCCACTGACTCTTAAACTTCTCAACCTCTAGAGCTAAGATGTGACGCAGTCCCTGGAATCAGGACCACTCCTGAGAAAACACTGCTTTCTTACACAATATGTTGCCAATACAGCTCCAAAAGTTCAAAGCATTTACAAAATTAATTTCATTTAGAGAAAAGGAAACACCCTGACTCCAGCTGTCTGAGATCTGATAGCTTCTCCATAAATGCTGATTTTGTTCTGGTGTCTTTATAGATGTTTTCCCTTCGTGATAATGTGAAAGAACACAAGAGTCATGTAGAAATTGGGCTATAGATTTGTGACTTTAATTACAACTGAAAACACGTCACCTGTCCATACTTCCTTTGATCATTATGACTCAATGCCATCTAACGACTAGCTATAACCAGGGAGTCTGCTAGATTGCTAGGTTTCTTTCCTTTTTTTTTTTTCTTTAATTAATTAACTTTTTTTTGAGATGGAGTTTCTCTCTTATTGCCCAGGCTGGAGTACAATGGCATGATCGTGGCTTACCACAACCTCTGCCTCCTGGGTTCAAGTGATTCTCCTGCCTCAGCCTCCTGAGTAGCTGGGATTACAGGCATGTGCCACCTACCTGGCTAGATTGTTGGTTTCTTTTCAAACTCTATGGATAAAACAAACCAACATTTTTAGAATTTAATATATCCCACAAATATACTCTTCTTTCTACTGCTCCTTAGGTGGAACCACTTCTTCTGCCTCATTGAACTCAACATCCTTCAGACTTTTAATCGATTCCAAATTCCAGTCTTCATGTTGAACTGGGTTAAGCATTTAAATAAAATCATTTTCTTCTATGAATGAGTTTTCCAACTTGCTTAATCTCCTCTAAGACATCTGCTTTCTGATGAAACCCAGAAGCCTCCAACTCTGAGTAGAACATTCACTGTGTGGTCTTAAAAGAGCCATATACAAGGATTTCTCGTGCAATATGCATTCCGAATTTGGACAAAACTTTCTTGGAGCTATTTGACATAACGCTCTATAAAAATGATCCAAGAGATGACACACTTTAGTGCTCTATACTTCATTTACTGAAACATGTCCAAGCATAAAATTCATACAAGTAAAAACAAAAAAGACACTTTTTTTTTTTAAGGGTTGTGAATGACAACTAAGGTTGTCCTAATAAAATAACAACCCTTTGCTGCCACCTAGAGGTAAAAACTATGTAATAAAATTAGAGTTAGAAAACAAAAGCTTGCACATCCATGGTGCAGAAACAATTAGGAGCCCAGTAACTTTCAGGCAGCTGGGTCCGAAAGTTATCAGTGACCACCATCCCAGGCTGCATGTTCTTCACCAACACATATCAGTGTTGCTCAAGAGAAACAAGCTCCACCAATACTGTGTTTCATACCAATCTGTACCGGCCTTTCACAATATTGAACTATGCATACCCAGGTAGGCCACAGTTCCAAGTGAAGAAAACAGAAAGCTTACATCTAAAGGAAGTTCAATTATAGCAGCACTTTTCCAAGTGTGGTAGGCTGACCACCTGAATCGAAGAAATCACTCTGAGAGTTTATTAAAAATGTGGATTCCTGGGCATATCCACAAACAAATGAATTACAACGCATAGGAGTAAGATTCAGAAATCTACAATTTAAAAAGGATCCCAACATAGATTTTGGTACACTAAATTGGAGAACCAATCTAAATCCTGGTAAAGTTACGGGACATCAGAAACGTATCTTGGGAAGGCCATTACTGATGCTACAGTCACAGTATTAGACTTCATTAGTCCATCACTAACCTCGACTGCAGCTTCCACTTCTCATGGCTTGGATAACAAGGTTGTTCACAGAAATGCCCTGATCTCTGAGTTGTTTCCTTCCTTTTTTATCTCTTAAACAATTTAGTGTTGCTTTTTCTAATAGCAAACTTACCATAAAATAGGTGGAGAACATGGAAAATGTAAGAAAAATAAAAAGTATGTATAAGTCCACTAATCAGGGTTAACCAACAATAGCATGGGTGTATTTTCTTCTAGTATTTTCTCTTCACATGTGAATAATTAAAGCATGTATATGGTTTTAAATTCTGCTTTTAACATTTCTAAGTAAACATTTTCCTGTTGCTTAGGCATCATGAATGTAGCATACTGTCATAATTATACTGTAATTCATTTAACACATCGTATCAATTTAACTATCCATTTTTCATCATTATAAACAATGCTAAAATCAAATATCCTGGCTCTCGGACTATATCCTAGAAAAGATTCATAAGGTCCTTGATACATACTACCAAGCTATTCCCATAATCGTCACTGGAGATGCCCATCTCATCAAACTCTTACTGTGGAAACTTCTAAAAGTCTCAAGGCCCAAGTCAAATGTTACATTCTTCATGAAGCATTCTTGGACAATCTCAATTGAAATTAACCTTTCTCTGGCCATCTCATGGCTCTTTGTTGAGATTAATTTGGAACACTACTCTTGTTTATGTCAATATTACACTGTGATTGCCAAGTATCTAGCCATCTCCATTTCTAACACTATCTGTATCAAGGGCCTTGCACACAGCACACATTCAACACATACCAGCAGAATTACTTTGCTGACACTTTTTTTCTTCAACCTGACAATCTTTAATCTGATATATCCCCAGAAACTGGTGCTTTCAAAGCCAAATCCTTCAAACTGACTCCATGTAATAAACAATGTCTGCTTCTCCACCAACTGTACCATTAATTACCTTTTGTTCTCTTGTTTAATTCAAGATCAAGGAGGTATGCAAGCAGAGAATCCCAACACGGATCCCTAAACCAAAATCTACAGGCATCACCAAGATTTCAGCTAATGCCCCCACACTGCCTCTGGATAAGCCTATTTACCAAAATGGCTGTGGGAAGCTACACATTGTAAGAACTGTAACCTCCAACGCTTTCCTCCACATGGGAGGGAGAAGGTAACTCATACCAACGCACTGCCCAGATATATTCATCTACAGAAATATCTGGAAAGCTAAAATTACCACTATGAAAGGCCCAAGGACCATCTCTCCATGAAATGGTGAAGCAGCAAACTGACAGTTCATTCAGATTGGTGGACCTGATGGAGATCAACCTGAAAACGCAGCACATCTACAATTATTTTACTTCTACATGTGTATACGCACATATACACACTCACAGGCCTAGACTCACACCCAAATCTACCCATTTCTTCCTCCTACATATAATCTAACCCAAAAATGGACTATCTAGAGTCAGTCTGGGATAGGACTGAATTCACTAGAATAGTTCAAGAGTTTTCTAGTGAATACAGAAGTAATTCTTCATTCTACAAAACTTGGCTGATTAATCAATTGTATTTTGCTAAGAAAAGGTAATAGCAAAATTCCTAATCTGAGTCAAGAAAATCAGGTTTTTCCATCAAGATGATGTGACAATTAAAATCATACTTTAAGGTCTAAAACTATGATTTTTTTATGACCAGGAGAGAAAAAACAAAGTGATAATTCTTAGTTACAAGGAGGAAAAGCATCACAAAAGTGAGCAACAGCCGAATATGTCCTTTGTGTGGCATACCTGACAATCACTGGTGTAGTGAGCATACCTGACCGCTGACACTTAGTCTCCTACCCATTTTCCCAGTATGTTTCCCCTCCTATATAATCCAGGCCTCAGAATCATATTGCTAGACTGTTAACAAAAACTTTAGATTGGTATTGTTAGAGTAATCAGGGCATATCTAAATCAAAGGTCAATAACATCGAGATCTTTTAGGGAGATAAAAAGCACTGTTCCAGGTGCTTGAAAAAACACACAATTCGTCATCTCATAGGACACTGTTTATTCCTATCTCTTCCCTGAATAAACACTGTAGAAAATCAGTTGATTCAACAAAAGCTTGGGGTTAGGAGACTCAAATTCCAATCCTGGATTTTCATTCATGTGACACCAAGCTTTGCATTCATCAATCTAAGCCTTGAGTTTCCATATGTAAAACAGGAAACTGAAATAATTCCTCAGGTCCCTTCCAGTTCTGATAACCTACGAATATGCCCAACTATTAAGACAAAATGCCGAACTCAAACAGCCATCTCTAAGGGCAGACACAGTCCCCTGGCGGCGAGCTAAGGTACTTCTTTCACCACACTGAAAACTCTCATTGAACTGAGAGAAAGGTGTGCCTATAATTTAGTGTGGACAGAGTAACACGGGACATTTTAAGATAAGGCATTTTTGACACAAAAGACAGTTCAAAAAACCATTGATTACCTTTTGTTCTCTTGTTTAATTCAATATTAAGGAGGTATGCAAGCAGAGAATCCCAACACGGATCCCTAAACCAAAATCTACAGGCATCACCTGTAGATCTTGAAATGTTTTTGAAAGACATTTCAAAAAGCTTCAGTCGAGGTTGGGGAAATATCAATGAAGTGACACTAAATATTTTTTGTGATCCTTCACTAAAAACTGGAAGCATGCCCCCAGAAGAAATCCTCATGGTTAAGGACTGCTTTAGCCAGCTGTCCTGGGATAGCACCAGCTGAGCAAGAGCAAATGAATGGCCATTCCCCATATTTATCTAACTAAGCCCGCCTCATTGCACTAATGCCACTGTACAAATACTCCTAGGCCCCTGCAATTTCAAGGAGGAGGAGGAGCTAGAGGCCTGGGCAGCATGGAGAGGGATGGTGTGCAGTAGTATTAGCAGGCAAGTGGCAGAGGGTGGTAAGGGGAGGTCAAACGAATTAAACGTCTGAAGTAGGAAAGTGTAAGTGAAAGGAAAGCAGGAAGAGAATAGGAGAAGGGGATGGACTACAAAAGAAGGTGAAGACTGTGCATGGAGGCTAACACCAGTAACCCAAGCACTTTGAGAGACTAAGGTGAGAGGATCGCTTGAGGCTAGGAGCTCAAGACCAGTCTGGACAACTTGGCAAGCCCTTGTCTCTCAGAAAAAAAAAGAAAAAAAAAAAAAAAAAAGCTAGGGTGGTGGTACACACCCGCAGTCCTAGCTACCTGGGAGGCAGAGGCAAGAGGATCGTTGAGCCCAGGACTCTGAGGCTCCAGTGGGCATGATCGCACCACTGCACTCCAGCCTGAGTGACAGAGCAAGACCTTGTTTGTGGGAAACAAAACAAAACAAAACCAAAAAAAAGTAGGGCGATGAAGCTGTAACACCAACAAAATAATACACATATGTGTGGAGTGCTTAGTACTGTGCTGACATAAGACAGGTATTTGATAAATCTTGAGTGAACAGAGAATGAGTAAATGAAGAAGGAAAGTCCATTCAGTCAAGACATTAAGTGAGAACATATGCTAAGAGACAGCAATGGTGTACGACAGGGTTAGGAAAAGTAGTTATGCCCAGGTGACATGCAACATCGGTAATTATGCTAACAGAAAAAAACCCACTGCAATTCCTACAGTATAAAGCAAACAGACTGAAAAGAAGCATAAAACAGGAAAAACTACACGCACTAACAATAGTCCCAGAAAACAAAATACCTTGGGAAAAATTTTACTCTGAAGAGGAGCACAAAATATGCTGTATGTTGAAGATCTCAAAATTGTTTTATCTCATGTCAGGAGACTCCCTAAAGTACATTTTTACCAAAGCTGGCATAAGTTTAAGAGGAAACACGAAAAGAGGGGCAAGACAGTATAAAAGTACTAAAAAATTTGGGTAGAAAAATGTCGACACTTCAATGGGACCCAGCAGAAACAATGGTAAGGCAGTTCTAATCCCATTAAGACAAAAGACTTCAAAGTTATGTTGGCTCGGTACAGTGACTCACACCTGCCAGCATTTTGGAGGCTGAGGCAGGCAGATCACATGAGGCCAGGAGTTTGAGACCAGTCCGGTCAACATGGCAAAACCCCATCTCTATTAAAAATACAAAAATTAGCTGGGTGTGGTGGTGCACTGCTGTAATCCCAGCTACGTGGGAGGCTGAGGCATGAGAATCACTTGAACCTGGGAGACAGAGGGTGCAGGAAGCCAAGATTGTGCCACACACTCAGTCTTGGTGACAGAGCGACTCTGTCTCAAAATAATTAATAATAATAATAAAGTTATATTTTAACAAAAGGATTATCAACACAAAATCATGCTTATTTCAAGCACTATGCATTAATAATATAAGAAAAATGAAAATACAGGCTTTGCCCGCTGCCTAAGGAGGAGGTGGGGTCCGGGCCAGCCACTACCGACGTTGCTGGGATGCTGCAAGTACACATGACCACCTGAGCTATCAGGCCCAGGAGCCCGATGTGGAGCGCTTCTTTAAGGGCTACGGGAAGATCCTGGACGTGGATCTGAAGAACGGATATGGTTTTCTGGAGTCTGATGATCTGCGTGATGCAGATGATGCTGTTTATGAACTGAATGGCAAAGACCCTTGTGGTGAGCGAGTAAGTTGAGCATGCCGCGGCCCCCGGCGAGATGGCAGTTACGGCTCTGGACGCAGTGGATACGGTTATAGAAGTGGCCGAGGTAAACATGGCCCTCCTACTCGCACAGAGTACATTCTTATTGTGGAGAATTTGTCAAGTCGGTGCAGCTGGCGAGACCTAAAGGATTATGTGTGTCAGGCAGGATAAGTGACTTATGTGGATGCTCACAAGGGACGCAAAAATGAAGGCGGTGATTGAAGTTGTATCTTATTCTTATATGAAAAGAGCTTTGGAAAAGTCAATGGCAGAAAAGCTGATCAGTGGAAGACAAGCCAGGTTCCAGACGATGCCGGTCCTACTTCAGGAGCTGGCGTCATTCAAGGCCTCGCTGTAGAAGCAGACACTCCCTTAAGAGCAGGAGCCGAAGTGGCAGCAGCCAAAGCAGTGATTCTAAGAGCAGACCCCCGTCCAGGTCGGGCTCCCGCTCCCGCAGCAAGAGCCGGAGCCGGAGTCAGATTCGGAACAAGAAGGAGAAAAGCTGGAGTCCCAGCAAGGACAAGAGCCGCAGCAAGCGCAAAGACCAAGCTGAAGAGAAGATCCAAAACAATGACAATGCCAGGAAACCCAAGAGCTGGCATCCTAGGAGGCACAAAAGTAAGAGCAGAAGTCAGAGCAGGAGTCTGGAGAGGAGAGTGGAGGAGGAGAAGCGAGGCAGTGTGAGTGGAGCAGGAGCCAGGAGGAAGGCAGGGTCCAGGAGCAGAGGAAGAGTCGCCGCCAGAGTCGGAGCCCGAGCAGGAGCAAACCCGGCAGCCGGGGCCAGAGGAACTGCAAGGACAAAGGGCAGGAAGAGAAGCAGGGAGGAGAGCCGCAGCGGCAGCCGAAGCAAGAGTGAGAGGAGCAGAAAGCGAGGCAGCAAGGAGGGCAGCAGAAAGAAGAAAAAGGAAGACACTGACCGCTCCCTACTCTGAATCCAGTCAGAGGGAAGGCCGAGGGGAGAGAGTGAGAATGCTGGCACCAATCAGGAGACCCGGTCCACGTCGAGATCCAATTTCAAATAGAAACCAAAACTTCCGTCAGAATCAGGCTCCATATCAAAGTCAGCTACAAAAGCCTGATCCGGGTCCAAGTCTCGATCCAGGCCTGCCTTCAGATCACCTTCCGGATCTAGATCTAGGTCCCAGGCAAGGTCTTCACTGCCTACGACCACTGGGGAACTACCCGAGGAGTCTTTTGTGCATGTTTGCTAGCCGTAGCACAAGAGATTGGAGTAGAACATGTTACTGCTGTACATTTTCAACTCCCCTAATGGTGTGTCCATAATTGTTAGATCTAAGTGCTTCCTTTCCGTAAAGCCTCCTGGTGCCAGCTCTTCTTGCTTCACTGAAAAAAATTTTCTCTTTAGAAAATCCCCTTTTACTCATGGCCCACAGTAGAATATCCAAAACGCCTTGGCTTTCAGGCCTGGCCTTTCCTACAGGGAGGGAGCTCCGTAACCTGGACAGCTCTACGGCTGGAATGATCACATAGGTAGGTATGGTGAGTTCAATCAGTTTTTGCTCATGAATTGACGCTTTTCGATGTATGCCATTTAGTGACAGCACTAAGTCTTAAGTTTCCTACCACTTTGGTTTCATATTTTTGGACTTAACCAAGTTGTGAATAGCACAGTCAAGGAAAATTGATACTTGCAGTAACCCACAGGAAATAAACTATAGCGTTCCATATTCTGGTATACTGATGATATTGCTTTACATTAAAAAATAAGTTTAAAATTTTATTATTCCCTGTCTTGCAAGTATAGTGACCCCTGTTTCCATTAAATGTGAATAAAGACTATCTTTGCATGACAAAAAAAAATGCAAATACAACTACAAAGTAGGAATACTATTTGGAGTTCAAAACAATAATGCCTGACCTATACGTAACACTGAAATATGAAGAACTTGCCTCTTGAACATCCTGTTTCTGCAAAAGTGTGGCCTCTGAAGAACAATGAAAATAAAAGAAGCTGACCTAGTAATCTACAGTGATTTCACTTGTTTTTTTAAAGTAAGCAGATAAAAATCCGAGTGAGTGAAAACAAATCCTATTTGTAACAAAAATGTTAACAACCTAATACTTTTAAGCTAATGTCTTTTCCTGGTCCTTCATTTATTTAACTTCAAGATTGCTGAATTAATCTTGAGATTTTTTAGAATCAAATACCTGATTTTCACAGATACATGACTGGTCTAATATATGACTGATAATTACTAAGTAACGGAGTAACTAAGGTAAAGCACAATTCTCTCTGGGTTTGTTTCAAATTTCATCTCCTGAAGACATGTGACATGCAATTCAGGATGTGACTTTGAATTTGGGGGAGGGTTTGCAAACTGTGGTTCACAGGCCAAATTCGACCCACTGTTAATGTTGAAAAACAATCAAAATAAGACTATTTTGTGATGTGAAAATTGCATAAAATTCAGATGTTGTTGTCTATAAATAAAGTTTTACTGAAACACAGCCATACTCGGTTACATATTTATTTTCTATAGCTGCTTTTACACCGTAATAGCAGAGTTGAGTTATGACAGTGATGACGGGACCTGCAAAACATAAAATATTTATTATCTGAATTTACATGAAAAAAGTTTGCTGACCCCTGGTCTAGTCTGAACTAGATTAACAAGAAACTCAGAAATAAGAGCTTAAGAGCTTGATCAACTAATTTTTAAAAGCAATATTAGCCATTTGAAAATCAATTAAGAACTCTATGAAAGCTGATAAAAATGGGAACACTATCTTTCAAGCTCTGATATATTTAGTAAAATGTATAATTCTATAAATGCATCTGAAGTGTTCAACTAAGGAACATCAGATTAAGCACAGATAAAAGATTTGTACCACAAAATAATATATTATTATTGAATCTGAGGTAGGAAATGAAAGTTATGTATAGGCCTTCCACATTTATGAGTAGTATTTTTCAAGAGGTTCATGGACATTTACCAAATTATAGCAGGAACTACCTGACATAAAATTTAGGGAAGTATGTATAAATTGCCACCTTTATTTATTTATTTATTTACTTTTGAGATGGAGTTTCGCTCTTGTTACCCAGGCTGGAGTGCAATGGCGCGATCTCGGCTCACCACAACCTCCGCCTCCTGGGTTCAGGCAATTCTCCTACCTCAGCCTCCCGAGTAGCTGGGATTACAGGCACGTGCCACCATGCCCAGATAATTTTTTTGTATTTTTAGTAGAGACAGTCACCATGTTGACCAGGATGGTCTCAATCTCTTGACCTCGTGATCCACCCGCCTCGGCCTCCCAAAGTGCTGGGATTACAGGCGTGAGCCACCGTGCCCAGCCTAAATTACCACCTTTAAATGTTCATAATTGTTGTCAAGAACCACTCATTTAATCATTTGCAATAATTGTGGAAATTATATAAAGTAAATTAAACCAGACCATGAAGGTTATCTGAGGGTCCATCTGTTGCAGCCTTCAAGTATAGAATATAGAACAATGACTAATAACATAGTCATTTTTCTTCCACGTCTTTCTTCTTTCCTTCCTCTTGCCTTTTAAATTCATCCTGCCCGTGTTTTGGCCTTGAATATCTGTCAATACTATTTGCATTTTGATTGAACCCTGTAATGTAAGCTGATTATGTTTTTTTCCTCTAATTCTGGTATAGCATCTAAACGAAGCTAAGCATGAAGACTTGACAAATGATTTTGAAAACAACATTCCCAGAAGCCTCTGTTGTGTGTTATTAACATCTACCAATATTTCAAGTCTGAATTTTATATGTAGAGACAATGCTTTACAACATTTACAAGGCATGACTGTCTATATGTAAAACTAACACTGCAAAGCTTTAACTTCGGTGTGAAAAAAGAAAACATGAAACAAAAAAAACCTAGATATTTAGGTTTAAAAAAAGATCCAAGGTGCTCCCCAACTCCATCATTTCCAGAAGGAATTCAGCATGGAAAAAGCAATCTAACTGGAAGGCTACACCATAAAATGATATTACACAAAAATATTTACAAAGGTCATTTCAGTGATCTCAAAAGAATAAGCACATTGATTTTAGGTGACAAAAGCTGTCACCAGTAAAAATTACAGGCTTATTTACAAAGCAAGAGTCTGCTGTCCTCTTTCCAACATAATTTGTAAACTTAAATCCAAATATGGTTACAATAAAATGTTAGTAGACAGTACAAGGACTACTAATGCAATTTTAAAAAGAGAAAAGCAGCATTTGCCAAATCTGTCAAAAGCTGGGACAGGAGTCTGACGACTCTGCTAGCAGATCAAAGTTCTTTTGGTAAAGATCTCCTAGGTTGAAGTCTTCAAGATGTGACTATGAAATATTAAGAATTAGTTAACTAATGAATACTTAATGAGTGCCTTCTATGTGCCCAGATACTACAGGCCCTGAAGATAAAGCAAACAAGACAAACAAAATACCTGCTCACATGGAGCTGTTAGTCTAGTGCTGGGAAAAAGTAACAATTTAATAAGAAAAAATAATAGTTGGTGCTAAGTGCTCTGCTGAGAATTACAAGAACATAATTTAATAGAGGCTGGGCATGGTGGCTCATGCCTAAACCTAGCCCTTTGGGAGGCTGAGGTGGGCAGACTACCTGAGGTCAGGAGTTTGAGACCAACCTGGGTAACATGTTGAAACCCCATCTCTGCTAATAGAGGCCGGGTGTGGTGGTGGGCACCTGAATCCCAGCTACTCAGGAGGCTGAGGCAGGGAGAATCGCTTGAACCCTGGAAGCAGAGGTTGCAGTGAGCCAAGATCGTGACATTGCACTCCAGCCTGGGGACAGAGTGAGAAACTCTGCCTCAAATAATAATAATAATAACAGTAATTTAATAGATACTGTGATAATTTAATAGAGCACCTAGATAGTTACTCTAGACTCCCTGTCTGATCAGGAAGTGCCTCTCTGAGTGGGTGATGTTTGAACTGGGTACTTAATGTTAAGAAACAGCCAGACAATCAGAAGGACAGGACTGAAAGGAACAGGAACAGCTACTGCAAAGGGCTAAGAGAGGATGAGTGTGGCCTACTGAGGAACAGAATGAAGGCTGGTGTGGGTGGGACAGCATAACTACAGGGGACTAAACTGTAGAAGACCTGGTGGCTACCAGCCATGGTAAGTAATCCGAATTTCATTCTAGGTGCCAGGGAAAAAGCAATTGGAGGGTTTAAGCAGGAATGTGGCCTGAGTTCTTTTAAAAAGATCTCTGGCTGCTGAGTGAGGGACAAGGTGGAATCTCTAAGCCCTGTTAGAAGCTTATGGCAGTGGTTGAGGCAAATAAGGATGATTGTGTATATTCCAATGGAGGCAAATCGAAGAAAAATGCAAACAAATATTCAGGTAGTGTTCTGGAGGTAGTGACAACAGGGCTGAAAAAAAATAAATGAATAAATCAGAATACTAGTAGGCCTCTGTGAAAGTGGTTAGTTGGTGGTTTAATTTATGGAGACAGGAAAGAAAAAGCAGTTTTGGAGAATAATTCAGTAGCTGGATCAGGTATGGGTTACTGGCAGAAATGGTTCTCACAGCCCAAATGGAAAAGCTGCTTATTTGTAGCTCTAAGTAACCAGTGTTCTTTAAAAGAGTAAACTTTGTAAGACTAATAAACACAATTTGATAATGATATATAAACAAAAGAGTTTCTAAATTGTGAGTCTCTTTAAACTGATAATGGATTATTCCTTTAGAGATGAGATACTTAACACTGATAAGTAGAATGCAAAATAGAAGTTTCAGACTGCCTGAATATGAATCACAGCTCCCCCACTTAGCAATGAAATAGTATTGGGTAAATCACTTAATCTCTCAGTGCGTCAACTTCCTCATCAACAAAATAAAGATAAAAACAGTAACTACCCCGGTGTACTTGTGAAGATTAAATTAACTAGACCCATAAAGCAATCAAAAGAGTATCTGGCACATAGTAAGTGCTCAACAAATGCAAGCTGGTTTATTATTATTATTGAGACAGTTTTGCTCTTGTTGCCCACGCTGGAGTGCAGTGGTGTGATCTTGGCTCACTGCAACCTCCACCTCCTGGTTTCAAGAGATTGTCCTGCCTCAGCCTCCTGAGTAGTTGTGATTACTTGGGTGCACCACCATGCCCAGCTAATTTTTTGCATTTTTAGTAGAGACAGGGATTCACCATGTTGGCCAGGCTGGCCTCGAATTCCTGACCTCAAGTGATCCATCCACCTCAGCCTCCCAAAGTGCAGGGATTACAGGTATGAGCCACCGCTCCCAGCCACAAGCTGGTATTATTACCTGCAGTCTCCTGGCACTGGACATAGGTGTCTTAACATGTCAGTTTTCTAGTTAGATGCTTGGGAAGAGATGGCATTAAAGATTCAGAATAAGTTGGGGAATCATATGAAAGACCCTCCTCAAAAGACATGGAGGCTCAATGTTACAGATTGCTAGGAACATGCTCTTTAAGAATAAGCTATCTGCTGGGCACAGTGGCTCATGCCTGTAATCCCATCACTTTGGGAGGCCAAGGTGGGCAGATCATGAGGTCAAGAGATCGAGACCATCCTGGCCAACATGGTGAATCCCTATCTCTACTAAAAATACAAAAATTAGCTGGGCATGGTGCCGAACGCCTGTAGTCCCAGGTACTCAGGAGGCTGAGGCAAGTGAATCACTTGAACCCGGGAGGTGGAGGTTATAGTGAGCCAAGATCATGCCACTGCACTCCAGCCTGGCAACAGAGCAAGACTCCATCTCAAAGGAAAAGAAAAAAAGAACAAGCTATCTGTATGCAAGTTATTCCTAAATCTGTATCTCAGCCTGGATCTGACCCTGAGGCTGTGTACTTAGGTGCCGACTGGGTACTCGCCTTAGTAATCTAAAAGGTACATCATTGAAATAAAAAGGGAAAGCAATCAGTATTCTCTTCATCTTCAGTGAGTAAATGATCAAGGACATTTTCTTTTCTTTTCTTTTGAGACAAAGTCTCACTCTGTAGCCCAGGCTGGAGTGCAGTGGCACAATCTTGGCTCGCTGCAAGTTCGCTTAGGGGTTCAAGCGATTCTCCCACCTCAGCCTTCCGAGTAGCTGGGACACAAGTGCCTGCCATCATGCCTGGCTAATTTTTGTCTTCTTAGTAGAGACAGGTTTTCGCCATATTGGCCAGGCTGGTCTCGAACTCCTGGCCTCAGGTGACCTGCCTGCCTTGGCCTCCCAAAGTGCTGGGATTACAGGCATGAGCCATAGCACCTGGCCTCAAGTGACATTTTCAACTGCAGAATCACTTGGCTCTCTTCCATAAGTCACAAAATCCATGCTCAATGTTGCAGAATGTTATAAAAACTACATTAAATGATTGACATTCTCTCAGTTTTCAGCTTCATACTGAAAAAGTAGCCAGACTAGTCAATTACATTACTATCTCTGGCACCGTATCTTCTCATTTCAGCATTAATATTTTCAAATCATGATTCAAGAATATATTACTTACTA